TGCTCAACGCTCCCTCCTCTGCCCCAAACCATAGCGAATGGTCGGAAGCCTGGGAGCCGCAGCCCGGCCGTGACGACAGCGGAGCCATAACCCAGGAATTCCCACTGCTGCTGCCCAGACGAGAGCGTTGTCTGAAAACCACGGCCGGGGCCCCGTGACCCAGCTGGGAATGAATGGGAATCTGTCCTCGGCTAAAACACTGAGAAATTGTGTGTTGCAGCATGTCTGAGACTGATCATGACGGGGGCACTTAGTCTGAGCTTCGCAGCGAAACCATTGTTGGGAGGGAGGATTACATGTTGCATAGCAATGCTCTGCTGTGATCCCTTCTCCCCATGGCTCTTGTAAAGCCATTTGGGCAGCCAGTCCAGCAGCCCTATCTAATTTCCTCGGAGCAGCAAACGCCAGGAAAGATGGTTCTGTCTGGCTTTGTTTTCCTCGGTGTTTGGTGTTCTCACAGCGAGATCAATGGGAATGTGTGTTCCTAAGTCAAGCTAATTAGCTCAAAAAGCTTCATTCCCCTCCCAGACTACTCTGTTTGAGGCTACCAGACCAGGTGGTTGTTCAGAGGAGAGAGGGAGGACATAATTTCCGTGTGTGATGCTATCCCTGACCCGCTAGTTGTCTTTGTTTGGCTTTGTTGTCATGGTGGAAGCTCTTTACAGCATATAACTCAAAGGATACTCCTTATTTCTTCTACTTCTGAGTTACAACTCTGCTGCTGTGTGGTAGCTGTGGAGTTTGGACCAGAGGGAGCATGAAATATTTTGTGCTTTGGATTTAATTTAATTCATTCTGCCTCACATCTGTGAGAAAACAGAGGCATTCCAGGTGGCCACTGCCTTGGTGTGGATGAAGTGAGTATTCAGTGGTGATGCCTTGTGTTCAGGAGAGATTCAGGTCTGTGTAGGATGGAAGTAAATCTGGCTCTGAGCCACGATATGCCATGAAAAGAAAGCAGGAACTACCTTATTATGAGGTACCTTCAACACAAAATTATAAGTTTATAATAAAATCTTATTCTGCCTCATCTCCCCAGGACTTTTTGGGTAATAAAAGCAGTTTTATTCTGTCCTGGAAGCCCCTCCAGGTTTGAAAGCATGCTCTAGACATCTCCTCATTTGTCCCAGGGCCCAGCCAGGAAAGCTTTCTCCAGCGCTGCTCCAAGCAACCTGCTGACTTGGATCAGCCCTGCTCTGCTTCCTGAAGAAACGAGGTGGATTTAAGTGCCTGTGACAGGAGCTTGCAACAAGAGGAGGGAAGGTCTCTGTGGAAGCTGGGGAGCGAGACGAGAAGCGGGAGGGCTTTGCCAAGACTCCTTCTGGCTCGTGGGTGGTTTGGGGCCCGTGGGCAGCGGTTCCCCGTCAGGCGTCGCCTGCGGGAGCTGCATCGTGACTGACAGCAGCAGGGGAGGCTGCTGGGCAGGAGGTTTTTCTAGGATTTTCACTCCTGCTGCCTCGTAACATTCTTGAGTCATTCCCCAGTCCTTCCAGGAGCGGGTTTATGGGGCGGTTGGGATGGCCCACGCTCGCCCAGTGGCCGTATGAAAACCCGCGCGCTGGATTTCATGAACCGGGGCATTCATGAGGACGAGGACAATGGGAACCTTTTATGCTTTGGGCCACCAGGGCATGACACCAAAGCTGTCCCAGCTTAACAAGGAGCTAGAAGTGAGTCAGGAAAAACCAGGCTATGATTCATTAGGGGCTTTGTTGGAGCCCAGATGAGGAGAATAGGTTCATCTGCCTAAATATGCACATGGATACCCTTTCAGAGACCCCCGGAGGGGCAGCTGGTGGTGAAGAGCGATGTTTTTCAGTAGCGTTGTTTGAAGTGGTGTTATTTAGACACCTGAGTTCACCCCAGAGGGTGGGATTCTCACAGGTTGAAATGGCTGAACTGAGGTGCCTCTGTGTGAGCTGGGTCCCCAGGCTCTCGTTAGGGAGCAGAGATGTGGTGAGGACACTTGGTGGGAGCCTGGAGAGCTGTTCAGTGGAGCAGGTGCTGCCTCGCTGCAGGATCCTCTCCCTGCTCTGGCTCTGCTGAGTCAGATGGGAGTTCAGAGGTGTTCCTCAAGTGTAGGTGTTTAAAATGTTTGCCTCAGTGAGGTCAACCCTGGCTGGCTGCTGTGATTCAAGTGCCTAAACCTACATGCTTATTCCTGACTCCATCCATCAGCTGCCAATCCATCAGGATCTGGTTTTCCAACACGTGCTGTGCCCTGTCTACCGGCCCCATGTGGATGCCCTGGCAGCAATGCCAGCTCTCCCACAGAGCTTTGGAGAGAGGTGGCTCCTGACCAGAACAGCCTTGTCTCCAGGTTCCTTTCCTGAATTTCCTGACCCTGTCCTGTTCAATCAGCTCTAAATCCAGGAGATTGTCTGCCAGCTGAGCCAATTCCCGTTGGTTCCTCGCTTTCCCATCTCCTGTACAATGGTAGGGGTCTCCTTCCCCAGGTGGAGCAGATGCAGATGCTTCGAGGAGGGGGTGGAAGGGTTGAGAAAAGCCTGAGCTGATGAATGGCTACAGTGTGCAGCCCTTCTCCAAGGATCTCAGCAATTTCTGCTGATGATCTGGGTGTGAAATCAGGTGGAGGAGCTTTGTTTCACATGAACTCAGCTCTCGCTTCTGGACAGGCAGTGAAATGTGACTTTTCATGAGGGACCGTGCGGGCGAGGGCTGGATTTTTTTCCCCCCTTCTCGGTGTTGAAACGTGTTCTGTACACTCTTGTCTGACATTGTGGGATTTCTTGTGGACTTGGCCAGACACTTTGGCACACAAGAGCGTGACAGCCCTTAACCAGGCCGGCCCAGCTGAGCGCTCTAAGCAGCAACACATCCCTCTCTGTAACCCCTCACTCGTTTGAATGCTACTGTGGATTACTGGGTTGCATTTGAAAAGGTCTTGGCTGTCACAGGAATGAAGTGTGACCACTGGCCGGGCTCTGCGATGCATATTGTCTTTCTAAAAATGTTTCTGGAATAGCAGGATTGGGCCAGGCCCCAATTCCGAGTCCATGACCTATTGCACATTTGCACATGGAGCTCAGCAGGATTCCTGCAGCCAAATCATTAAGAACCGGATGGTCAGGAAGTGGATTGGAGCCAGTCCTGTGCTGTCAGGAGGCCACAACGTGGGCAGATGCCACAATGGGCAGAGGGGGAGGTTGTTTTCTTCTTTGTCAAATGCCACAGATGCCCAAAGGAAGGGCACTTCCAGCAGGACCTTGTTAGGAGCCAGCTCTGTAAAACAAACCCTTATTACCTGCTATTTTAGGGGGTGGTTGTACCTTGCCCATTTAAAGTCAAAATGCAACTTATTTTAGGGGGGAAGGGAGAATCAGAACTATAAATATCAGTTTATAATCTGTGGACAGAAGGCAGGTTATCTGTGACTGTCCAGATCATGTGTCTGCTCTCATGGAGCCCATGGAACAATCCCAGGTGTAAATCCCAGGTGTAAATCCCTCTCTGTGGAAGGTGGGCTGGGACATTCCAATGCCATTCCTAAGGAGGTGGATGTGCTTTTTTGCTGTGAAACCTCTTTTTTGAAGAATAATTCATTTGAAAAGGATAGGATTCTCTGTTGAGCATCAGTCAGTTGATGGGTTTGGGGTCCTTTACAGCACCCAGGGGCTGTGACCACCTTTGCCTCTCTCCAAGGTCAAGAACCATTGACTCTCTCCTTGTTTTCTCTTCCCTTCCCGATATTGCTTCTCCTCCCTGTGCTGCTTTTCCTGTTGAAAATAGCCTTGTCTCTCTGTTCCCTCCATCTCATGTGTGAACACTGTGGTTCCACTGGCTCTGATCTTTCTTCTCTGTTCACATTTTGTGGTGCTCTGAAGAGAACCATTCCCATGCAAGCTCTCCCCAAGCAAGATTTGGACATTTTGCTCCGTGGAGACTCCCCTTTCTTTTTGTCTTGGGAATAAATTAGACATACACATTTACTTTTGGATATTTTGAACAAATTATTTCTCTTTTTTGAGGGCCTTGAGAGATGAGTCTTATTCCTCATGACAACGCCCATTGCAAGAGTTGGAACTTTAAAATGAATAAAACCAATTCTTTGAGAAAGGATATGAAACTAAGCCTTGCACTCAGTAGTCCTTTTGAACATGATGCCACAGTCTGGAATAATATCCTGGACACAGGTTGGAGTGGTGGAAGCTCCCTGGATGTTTTGGAAGCAGCTGCTTTTGTTGATGGTGATTCAGGCTGTTGTTCTCGAGGGTTTACATATTTTTATATATTTTTATATATATATATTTATTTCAGCAACATGAATGTTTTTCCTCAGTCACGAAGTGAGCTGTGTGGGATGTTAAGCCCAGTCACTGCTGGTGGGAACAGCACAGCTTAACCATGTTTTCACTGAGCCTGTGCTGCAAATTGCTTGAGTTTAAGGTGGTTCCAGTTTGTTGTGGTGTGGAGAAGGTTCCTGCTGCCCATGCTTGTGTTCTGGAGCAGGTGACACCCACTAAACCGACTCCTTCCACTTTTACTACAGCTTATCTACCTGTTATTATTGGCATAGATAAATAAGTGTTAAAATATATATTAATCTCTCAGTTGCATCACAGTTTCAGATCTCTGCCCACGTGATGAGTGGCAGCACTGGGCAACCTTTGTGCACCTTTCTAGTACCGTCAATTAGCCAATTAAGCAAAGTTCTGGCAGGTGAATGTCATATTCTAGAAATCGAGGACCCTTCTAGAACAAGTATTTCCTGGAGGATGATGATTTTCTTCTCCTCTTCCAGCAGATAGATTTCAAATTGTCATCAACTTGGTGTGTTCCTGAAATGTTCTTCTAGCAAATGGTTTTTTTTGTTTGGTGTCTTGATTTCTGAGGATGACTTTTCTCTCCTCTTCCAGCAGATAGATATTGAATTGTCATCGGCTTGGTGTGTTCCTGAAATGTCTTCTAGCAATGTGGTTGGTGTTTTGATTCCTTCCCCAATAACTGATTGTCTCTTGGGGCCCATGTGTTGTCTGCAGGTCATCAAGGCCGGGGTGGAGACAACCTGCAAATGCCACGGCGTGTCCGGGTCCTGCACCGTCCGCACGTGCTGGAGGCAGCTCTCCCCGTTCCACGAGATCGGGAAGCAGCTGAAGCAGAAGTACGAGACGTCCCTCAAGGTGGGCAGCACCACCAACGAGGCCACGGGGGAAGGGGACATCTCCCCGCCCAAGAAGTCCATCCCCGGGCACAGCGATCAAATCCCAAGGACTACAGACCTCGTGTACATCGACGACTCCCCGAGTTTCTGCATGATGAGCCGGTACTCGCCGGGCACCTCGGGGAGGAAGTGTTACAAGGACAAGAACTGCGACAGCATCTGCTGCGGGCGGGGGCACAACACGCAGAGCCGGGTGGTGACGCGGCCGTGCCAGTGCCAGGTGAGGTGGTGCTGCTACGTGGAGTGCAAGCAGTGCACCCAGAGAGAGGAGGTTTACACCTGCAAGGACTGACGGGGGGGGCCCGGCCGTCGTCACCCTCCCGCTGCCCGGCGGGGAGCCCTCGGCGGCGGGAGAACCGCGCACGGAGACAAACAGGGTTTGACGGACCCTCTGGGATCTGAACGCTGTGTTGAGACATGAGCACTTTGTAGGGTACAGGTGACCCAGCTGTGTTGCTGTTTTGTTTTGGTTTATTTTCTTTTTTGGTTTTGTTTTTTTTTTCGTTGGTTTTTGTTTTTTTTTTTTTGGTGTTGTTTTCCTGTAGACTGAATTCCGATGAGGTCCAACCATGTGGAAATAAGTGCCTGTCCCACTGGGGTTAGACACCAGTGGACCTTCACCTTAGTCGTCCACGCAGTTTTGACGGATCGTTTTTCCTTGGAACATCTTGGTGGTTTTCACCAATCCTCCATGAACGCCCGGGCTGACAGATTCTCTTTGGCATAAATTATCCGTACTACTTTATTCCTGGAGCTTCTCTGGCTGCTTGCAGAGCTGAGCAGGTACAAAAAGAAAGATCTTTCCGGCACGAAAAGAGATCGTTCGTCTCTCCTGAAACTGGAGAGAGGGGTGTTGGGCAATGATGGTTCCTGGTGGTTCTTCCAGTGGAATTTCTGCACAGGGAGCAAACAAGGCTCTGACAAAGAGACCCACTGGGAGGGTCAGCTCTTTAGTGACAGCTCCACGTGTGTCGTCACCAAGTACAGCCCCAAAAACTTGTGGGTCCACCACGCTGCAGACAAGAAACGTATCCAAGAAAGAGGTTGGGAAGACAAGTAGAAAACCAACCGTGCCTGTCCCCTCCAGTCCAACCACATATTCTTTATTTAAAACAATTCCTCCAAATGCAGGTTCTTTAGCACTATCTCTGTCTTAAATCTAATTATTATATATATATATTTTTTTTTTAAGAACCACTAGATACTTTGGTCTCATTTTTGTGCATGATTGATTTTTTTCTTCCGTCTCCTCTTCCCACCTCTTGCTGATGGAATATTCGCCCTGTGGTAATTCCGCCTCAGGAATCTGGATCTGGAACTTTATATTTAGTCTTATGCCGGCTGAATTTTGGACGCGTGTTTTTTGAGGAGGACAAGAGAAATCCAAGTGCCTCTTGGAACCCAGGGCTGGCCTGCCTTGTACAGCAGCAGTTTGGGCCTGGATCAGACCTCTGGAGGAGTTGACTTTTCCTTTCCTAGGTCATCATTCCATTTTCTCCCAACCATGGCAGTGGTACATGACACAAGCTGTATGGAAACCCTACGACCTTAAGATTATTTTTTTTTGTTTGGTTGGTTTTTTTTAGTTTTTTTTTAACCACTAGCTCGAGAACTGTACTTTCAAAAAGGCAAACTCTTGGATTTGGAATAACCAACAGACACACAGTAAAGTGGCCAGAGAAGGCCGGAATTTGACTGCAGTGGTAGATCAATCCCAGTGCTGTGAAACAGATGACAACCTTCAGCTTTTCTTGTTTTTTCCTTGGAAGAGGAGACTCACAATCCAGGACTTGATGCAACAATATTCTTCACTCGTTATAAAAAACGGATTGGAAGCAGCCCAGTGGATGCCTCAACGAAGCTTCCTAAGGAAACAATGGAGTGTGGAGGGCGTTCAATTTGATTTTTGGTGGCAATTTTTCGTTGTCCAGCGGCAATTTCCATCGATTTTGTATAAGCCATTCAATCTTTTTCTCAAAAGAGGAATTTTTCCACCATTAGTGGAAATCAGCAAGGAAAATGAGAGCAATTTTCCAAGATGGACCATTATTTTTCAAAGCCTTTTTCTCCTTATTTTTTTGTTTAGTTTCGTTATTTCCCCCCCCCACACACACAAACAGTAGCCACTAATTGAAGCTGTTCCTGTGCATCTACTGGGAGGAGAAAAGATCTGTTTTGCTTTTTCTTGGTAACAAATAACCTGCAGTTCCAGCCTGGCTCGTTGGCATCAAATAATCTTGATTTGGGGGCACGGGGAGGGACGGGGCGTTCATGGCACCGTGCAAAGTGAAGTGAACTGGCTCTTTTTGGCCGTTTTCTTATTTGCTGTACAATTCTGGAGGTTTTGGGTAACGCTGGAGGAGGAGGAGGAGGGATCCACGCACGGTGGAATTCCCGCCTTCCACCTCGCAGGAAGGTCTCCCAGTTTTTGGGAGGGGAGAGGGATGCAGTGCTTTGAAAGTCACCCACGAGCAGTTTTATCTAATGGTTTAAAAAATAAACGGACTAGAAACTTCTAATTCAGCGTGCACATGTGTATATGTATATATATATTTATATATACACACATGCCGACACATAAATATATATATATATATATATATATAAATATTGAACATTTATTTATTGTAAAGCCCTTCAGAA